AAATTTAAAGCAACATAAAGACGCATTAGGCACTAATAAAAATAAGAACATTACTTGCCAAAGTCTGTGAGATATGCCCAAAGAAGTACTCTTAGGGAAAAAAAAAATTATAAATAAAATTCAACTGAAGGAGCCTCAAAGATTAGGCCAGCGGGGACCTTAGGAGCTGCAAAGACTGCGGACGGTGGTGGGACCTGGCCCTGGGCCTGTGCAGTGCAGTCCTGCGGCATCCAGGCTGAGCAGCCAGGCCTGGGGGAGCCACCAAGGTCCTGAAGACAGGGACCAGAGACTGACAAGGCGTGTGATCGCAAACCCTTAGCAGAACTGGATGAGCGACCTCAGGAAGCCTCAGCTCACCAAAGCTGCCCCAGAGATGAAAACACGTAGACCTTGTGTTTGGAGACCCAGCATGAGCATGTGGGAGGAAGCAAGGCGCCCAGGGAGCCTTCATGGCACAGACTCGGGAAGCTGTGGAAAGGAAGCGGCTTGAGAAGCACCGCGCTGTCCTGCAGAGGGGCAGGCAACCATCGGACTCGGCTAACTACCTCCCACCGAGCACTGGAAAACTGTGAGCCGCCGACCCATCCAGGAGTGGCCCTTTCCACCAGGACCCTGAACCCCTGGCGGACCCTGGCCTTTGAGGGGATGACTCCTCGGTGCCAGGGCAGGGCCTGCAGAGGGCGGCGCCTGAGCAGCTGTCACAGGGGCCGCTGCAGGCTTTCCACAGCCGGGGTGGGGGAGCAAGAGGAGGCGTGAAGTGCACAGGGTAGGGGAGGCCAGCTGCACCCTGGCCAGCTACCACTCGTGACAGAGGGAGGGTAGGGGCTCCAGGAGGAGCTCGGGGCCCTTACAAGAAACAGTGAGCCACTGCCATGGTGAAAAAGTAACCTCTGCGTTAAGGATGTTGCTTTTAAGGACAAGCTCTACCAGGTTGAGCAGCATGTTTATGGCTTGTTAATCTTTCTTCACTTGGGGCCTACAACCTACACTCCCTGAGCAATCCGCTTGCAAAAGGGAAATATGTCAGTTTGGGGCTTTCTCCCTATAAACTTAGGGCCCATCCAGCCAATTCTTCCCCAACTTCGGGTGGACCTTTGGATGATAGGAAAAGAAGCAGATTTAGTGTCAAAAAGGCTTATTAGAAAATTCTCGCCCAAACCGATAGGTTGTGATATAGTATTATCATTACTTAAAACTAACTGGATTGGAGGGATTAAACAAAATAAATGGGAAAGAACAGCGTTCCAGAATTAAGAATGATAAAAATGTATTAATTATACGTATACATGTGGGTCATGAGACTAATGAAGTATATAAATTCCCAGCAAGGCTACATGAGACCCAAAGGTCGGGACACTGCCAGTCATGAGAAGCAAATGGTGTGAATTATGAGAATGAGGGAAAATATTCTTTCTAACCAGAGGCGGAGTTTACTCTATGGAGCAATTAAGGAGACCTTCGAAGTTGCATTTTCTCTAGTGGCTCTTTTTCTTTGGAAACTGTCTTGAGATTTTAAAAATCAAAGGTGGCTTTATTACTTGTTGTCCACATGCATACACTTTTAAGAATGTAAGAGACTTTCTTAACAACTATACCAGGACAACTGGAAAAAAAAACCTGGGCTTAGAATCATCCTATGTCATGCTTATTCAATGATTACTGCTTAATACCCTAGGAAATAGTAATTGAATGGAGAACTGGGAAACAGGTTTGAAATCTCAAGATAGGTGCAAGAAACTAAAAAAAAAAACAAAAAACTAAATTTTCTGACACCTGTCTCTAAATATATTATTTTTATTTTTTCTGGGTCAAATTATCGTTATAGTTGTTGTTGAGACACATTCGATTAAAGCAACATAACTATATTACAAATTCTGATACTTATCAAAAAGTAAAATCATATAGGAAATTAATCCAAATGAGATGGATTTTTAAAAATTAATGTATGTGTTTGTGGATATTAATTATTCCTGGAATGAGATAGGGTACCACATCTTATATATTAACTCATTTAATCATTGAAATAAACTATAGATAGTATTGCTCATCCCCATTTTATAGTTTTTACATTTCATCTGTATATGAGTCAAATTCCTCATTTATCAAAAGGAGGTAATAATAGAACTTCTCTTTTGTAAAATAGGTTGTAAAAGAATGCTAGGAGTGGAGAATTGATATGAGTCCTTAGATCATTTTAAGAAACAGCACTTGTGAAAGTTGGAGAACTGATGGCATCTGCTGGCCCTGCAGAAGTCTGCTGGAACACCCTTCTTTTCCTTCCAGGGGTGTGTTTCGATCTGAAGACACAAAATCAGTGGACTAACCTGAATCTAGATCTAATTTTACCTCTAATGGCTCCATTAACTATTCACTTAACTATTCTTTACTAAAGAACTGCCACAAGGAATAACAAATTTTATCACTTCATAATTTAAATTTTATAGATATAACTTATGGGGGGAGGGAGAAGAGTTATCTTAAGCTAGCTAATCAACTAAATAAAATATATCTAACAGTGTTGCTAAGACTCTACAGGTTTGAAGTGGCAGTGGATGGAGATAGGGGTAAGGAAGAAACTAATTTTTTTACTATGTGCCCTTCAATGCTTTTTGAATATTTTGCTATGTGCATAAAAGGACAAAAATGAAATCATCCAGAAATAATCCGTATGAGGATTGCATTTCCTACCAGCCTTTTCTTTATTCATATGATAAAGACCTCTAAACTAAAGCATAGTCTCATACTATATAAACAAAATGAGCTCCTGATGCTTGATGGTATATTAAATATAAAATGTGAAATAAGAAAAGAAATAGAAAAAAAACATAGGTGAAGGTACATTTCAAGGTGGTAGAAAAGGTTTTTTAACTTAATTTTATTTTTAACATAAACAATAGAGGTAAAGTGTGAAGTGACTGATCGTTTCTAGTATGTTTTATATTTTTCTTTTTCTAGAAGTAGCATTACATTACAAAAATGAGCAAAACCCAGCAAAATAAAATTTCTTTTAGTCAATTTTCCAAGTATCACTTTTGTGGCCTAATACATGCTGAATTTTTACAAATAGTTCATTGACACTTCTAAGTTTAATTTCTGTTTTCAGCATGTGGAGCCTGACAATTTCAATCACCTCTCTCTTATTAATTAAGCTGCTGTGGTCTTCTTTTATGATTATTCTTATTATTTTCTGTCTATTGTGTATGCCCTGATATGAGATGACTGAACTAAAAGTTCCTACTACCTTTGTCTTTTAATATTTCTTCCTTATTTCTTGTATTTCTCATTTATTCATGATCTTTAAGTTATATTTTTGGTGTAGTGGTATTCGTGATGGCATATCTTGGTTGAGGTTTGTTACATTTATCACATTTATCATCACAATGGTTATGTGTTGAATGGTGTCCCACTGTCCAAAATATACGTTGTGGTCCTAAATAGCAGTAGGTCAGAAAGTGATCTTGTTTGGAAATAAGGTCTTTGCAGATGTATTCCAGTTTAAAAAAGGTCATAGGACGGACTTTGATCCAATGTGACTGGTGTTCTTATAAAAAGGGGAAATTGTTAGATGGTATAAGTTCTCTTCGGCCTTACCCCAGTGACCTTTAATACATCATTTCCAATATTATCCTCATACAATCAAACATGATTAGAACATTTGAAAAGATCCTAACCAAGAAATAAATCCCCGTTATAATCAGAAAGAATCACAGCCCAGCCAGGCGTGGCTCAGCGGTTGAGCGTCAACCTAGGATCCAGGAGATCATGGTTCGATTCCCGGTCAGGGCACATGCCCGTGTTGCGGGCTTGATCCCCAGTCAGGGGCGTGCAGGAGGCAGCCGATCAATGATGACTCATCATTGATGTTTCTATCTCTCTCTCTCCCTCTGAAATCAATAAAGATATATTTAAAAAAAAAAAGAACGAATCATAAAATCCTTCTCTAACAGGTCAGTCATATCAACAGGGATTTTGGAAAAAAAGACCAAGTCTAGAAAGAAGAGAAAGGAGAGGCACATTGCCAGATGCTTCAAGATTCCTTGCAAATTTTATCAAAGAAATTTTACTTATATACTTCCAAAATAAAATTTTAAAAGTAATTACATCTGAATTAAACAACGTTAATTAGAAAAGAGCAATGTTTTTACCAGTTATGAAAAAGCAGAGGAAACTCTAGCTTACATGTCTACTTCTATCATACCACCATCTGATGGCAGTATAGCCTCAAATTACAAATCCCAACTTCTAATGTTTCAGATCAAACTGTACTACTGAAATGATAATCAGTACAATATTCATTTATAGGGCATCTGGTATTTCTAGACAATGGGATATAAAAATTTCCATGGCATAATCTTTTCTCTCAAGGAGCTCACAGCGCACTGGGGAGTGGGGCATATGCACAGATAATTTTAATAAGTGTTCAATGCATATTATAGAGCCTTAGAGACAGATTCCTAGCTTAATATGGAGATAAGGTAAGATTTTGTAAGGTGATGATATCTGAATTAAGTTTTAATATGTCCAAGTTGCCTGGATTAAAACATGAAGTAAAATGATAAATATTATGGAAGGGCAAAAAATGACTAGTTTGTATAAGGAAGAAAAGAGGCTATTGGATTCAAAGAACAGGAAAACAGCTGTATGTTTCAGGCCAGATAACACACTAACCATCAAAATTTCTTAAACATCAGCCATAAACCAGACATCCATACAAGAAGGAAATGTGTACAACCTTTGCTCTAATAAAGCTTTTCTTCTGGAGGATAAGCTGGCAATAAATACAAAAATAATGCCCACAAATTATATTCACTTCAAATTAAAAACAAGCAAAACAGTGACTAAAGAGGGGAGACATGGAGATGGCTGTTGAGAGGTAGTGATATTTTAGATAAGGCCATCAGGGAACCTTAGATGTTTACCTTAGCGATAAACATATATATGACTATAATCATGATCTTGGCTGGAGTCTGTTAGCAAAGTAACACTAAAAATGTACTTACCAAAACTTGCCCCACAAAGGTCTGTGCCGAAAGTATCATTTCTATACGATCACGAAATACTCCATGGAGGTGAAGACTTTTTAAATGTTTATTACGGTTGCTCATGGACAAGATTAGTTTCTATAAGCAAGAGAAAGGAATTGAGTGTGAGCTGGACCTCAGAGAAAGGAATCTGTTGATAGATTCTCCTGCTGTGGTATCAACCAGAAACTACCCCACCTAGTCCAACCCAGGAAACCCTAAAGTCACTCGTTCAGGATTTCAAGAGATGAATCTTACTGAGTTTGCATTTTACTGATTTCCTGCACAGCTTTTTAACTCTGAATTCTACAGTCTTCAACATGCTTTTCTCACACATTCTTAGTCCTAGATCCTTCAAACTGACATTATTGTAATGATCAGCTTTGGGAGCAAAATACTTCTTTCATGCATCGAGATGCACGGACAAAGAAAAAAGCTTACAAAATGACTTTTAGGTGATTATGTAAGTATTTGCTTTTTTGAGAGAAAAACAAAGAAGGAAAGTTTTAGGAATTTGATGTTGCTTTTAGTTCCTTATGTAGTATCATATCCTGCTGAAATTACAATCCTTCCTCACAGTTGCATAATGCTTTTACTTAATATATTTGACATTTATAATAATCCTATGATGTAGATAAAGCATGATGAAATCCATTTTTTATTGATAAAGAAACGGAGGTATAGAGAAATTAGATGCCTTTCCCACAAGCAGGCAATCAGGAAAGGCTGGAGCCTAAACTAGTGTCCATGTCTGTTGATGGTCTTGAACTACCACCGAGAAAGACACAAGCAAATTAGGACTGACCACACCATGCTGACTGGACCCCTCTGACTTTTAGAAAAGTTCACTTTAGGTAGGGCCAGGGTTTTGAAATGACTTAATTTTTCTATTCATATTTTCTGAGTGGTAGGAAGAGAAGTCTCAGTAAGTGACTATTAGATAGAGTTCATATCTCAATCAATAATTTGCCTCTAATACCTATGATTCATCATGTGTATTCCCGAGATGTTTGAGAATTGATTTTTAAAAATATATTCAATATGACTTTAATATAGAACACTCATTTGAATTTCATTATAAAATTGGAGGTGTCTTCTGTGGAAAAACAAATTGGCCCTAAAATATAATAAAATCATACTTACTAATGTAGTAAACCTTTTAAAAATGCACATTTAAGTGGAAGAATTATGACTCTCCAAATAATTTCTAAAAGAAGTTTTGACAGTACCCAGATTTGTGACATTTTTCACATGAGGCCAACTTTCTCAAAAGCTTAGAGTAAAAATGCAGCACTCTCAATTCATATGAATATAACAAATTATTGAGAAGTCACTCAGCTTTTATCAAAGTCCTCAAGATTCAAGAGCAGAACAGTACAGTATTCTGGTTGCTTGGACCTCGTTTCTTATCATAACATTTACTTTCTATTTGAAATTAGAAGATACCTCTGCATCAAAGGGTAGACAGGAATTAGATCCGAAGAAAGAGATGAAAGATACAGCAAATATTTATAGACAAATGGGTTCTCACATTTTTGTAACCACATGCAAATGAATATGATGGGGAAGAAGATGTATTTTCCTGAGTGGAAGTCTAAGAAGGTTAAATAATTCTGCCAACTGAATTGGGCATTGAACATAGGAAAGAGGGCCAATTCACCATACCTGCTTGTATACTTTGTCAGTATTGTTAAGAAGTTGGTACCCCAGAATTCTTTCCCCAATTTTTATGTCATTGCTTACTGTCTTTAATCTAGGAATAATTAGTAATAGAGTGAACTTATTTAGCAACAAAATGTATGAACTTCAATATTGGGGGTACTTTTCGAATGTAGAAACCTGAATTCCATATTATGAGATTGCCAATGATCTTAAGTACCAAGTTATTATAAGTTCTGTTATTTTGTGTCAATGTTTAGCCTTAAGAGAAATATTTTAAGCAACCTTTCAATATTAATTATATTGCACAGATAAAATATGTTCTGCTATGGAAATTACTATAATCAGAGAAACAAACCAAGTTTGGGAAACAAAAATTGGAAATAAAGCCACACAGGACATAATAAAATTCTTTGCCATGGACCACTGGTAATAGAATAGACTTTATGTAGCATTTGAGAGTTTTATTTCAAGCTTTTAAGCAATGTCTTATCTGGACAATATACCTTTATTCTCATCATCATCATTTGCCAGGTTTCATTCAATAGCACCCACCCTTGCAAAATTTGCCTCGGCATGAAAAGGTCTCTGTATTTGAGGCTGGATGTCATGTGCGTGTATGCATGGGCGTCCGTGCATGCATATGCAATTCAGTGTGTTGTGTTAACATGGTATGCGAAAGGCAGTGTACCTATGTGAATGCATATGCATCATGAATGATGGACTTATGAAAGTGAGACTGACTTCGGTGTTCCTTTTTGTCTCCCTAGTAGGACCTACCACAATTGTCATTTTAGGATTTAAAATAGAGGCATAAATATAATGTCCCTGGGTGGTTTGTTTTGTTTTTTTCCAGAAAAGTGATCTTTGTTTCCAGAGCTAACATTCATCATCAACCATACAAGACATTTCTTCTCTGGGTGGTGGGAGAGGAGGCCTGGCCCTGTTCCTGAGGCCTTGGGAATAGCGACCTGTGGGCCTGTTTTTCATCCCCAAGAGGATCAGCCCCTTTCCAAGGCACCAGATCAGAGCTGGCTCTCTTAGCCTGTGAAAACTCAGTGAAGCCTTAATCATTTTCTAAACACAAACACATGTCAAACCTGTCTCTGATCTTCATACAATGGGATCCCAAATAAGGAAACTGACCAAGAGAATTCCTGTTCCCTTGATGTTTTGCCATTTTTTTATGGCCCTCCAGAGTAGCCTGGAAAGAAATAAGATGAGGAGTCCACTTAAGAAGGTAACTAAGGAGGAAAGAATGAACGCGGCTTGGATCTCAGTTGTGCAGGACAATTTCCCCATTTCTTCCTCATTATTGCGTGCTTGCTTGGTTCGAAACATCGCGAAACTGAATGTCAGAATCCTATGATGTCATGATCACATGGTAATGATTCCAGGAATTAGAGTTCAGTGTACTACAGAATCTAAAGACCAGGTGCAATACAATGAGTGGTTCTAAGAACATGGGTTGGCAACCACCAAAATGCTGACTCATAAGATGCCAGTGAATGAACGGGGGGAGAAAGCTGGGGTCCACAACATGGGTCTTCAGATAATGTGAATTCCAGATCTGCTTCTGTTACTCCCTTTCTCTATGACCTCGAGGAAATTACGTCCTTTGAGGCTATGGGCAATGGGCTATTTGGTCTGTGCAAACAATTTCAGAATAACCCTTTTTGAGTGAAATGACACCCAGGCATCTGTGTGTAAGTCGGTTCTTCGTCTGAGTGAATGCCACATTCTTTGTAATCTTGGAAGGACAGATGAGAGAAGATCTTCAGGATTTTAGTTTATCCTTTCTATAAGGAAGGCATAGTATAGAGTTCAGGCATTGGAGAAGGCCATTTTTCCAGTGTGAACCCTGGTCAATAGTTATTTGAACCCAGGACTCTGTTCCTTTAATCTCTTCTTTATGGAACCTTCCCTTTTCTGGTTTTCATCCCTGCCCTGGCAGCAAACCCTCTGGTCCAGCAGAGGTAAAGTTCAGGATGAGAGCAATTTCTTCTGTTTTCTCTAATGTTTTCAAAGGTGTGAGAAATGTCATGCCTTTCAGTGTACAAGAGTGGCAGGCAGAATGTCAGGGCGGAAGGAGGGCCTAGTTCCCCAGTTATTGTGAAGATGACGTGACAGGAGGTGATGAGACCCAGGAGAAATTCTGTTGTCTTTTGCAGTCGGCCATGACTCTGCTCTGTGGCAGCCTGTTTCTAGAAGATAAATACGTTTCCTAGAACTGCTGCCACAGTTATTTTGTCACCGGGGGACCTGTGTGACTAGGGAGAAGCTGCCATTTGTAACTTGGTAGCAATTCAGTGTTCAGAACATGGGAGGTAGACGACTTTGGAGCAACTTTACTCCTCACAATAACTAAGAAAGCACTCTCCTTGTGCTCCAGAGTTTAAAGAAACAAAAGTAATATCTACTCTGTTGGCTACTTATACAAGCAGAATCTCTGCTGAGTGTGTGTGTGTGTGTGTGTGTGTGTGTGTGTGTGGGTGGAGTAACTACTATGTGCCAGGCACTGGAGACACAATGGTCAGCAAAACAGACATAGTTCATCCCCCTACGGGGGACACAGTTAACCGAGGAAGACGTTTACAGTTAGAAACTTGGGAATGTGTTCTGGGGAGAGATGTAGTGTGAGAAGAACCCAACCTACCTAAGGAGTCCAGAGGCTGTGTCATGTCTGAAGCATGAGGACCCCTGATGGGCTGGGGAAGCTGGGGACATATATTGTTAGACAGAGGGGCTACTGTGGGGCAGAGGTGGAAAAGAGATGACCCTCTGAAGAGGGTGGTCCATGGAAAGCAGTGATCCAAAAGAAGGGTGGCTGTGTGTGAAGGGAACCAGATCACGCAAGGCTTTGTTCCGGTTTAAGATTAAAAAAATACAAGAAAAGACTTAATTATTTGAAGGATTTTAAAGAAGGGAGTTGAATGATTGAATGCCAGTCAGAGAAGACACTGGTCCAGAGTGAGAAGAGGCTCGTCCACTGGGTGGGGCAAGCAAGAGGAGCCATCCAAGGCCAGGGTGTAAGGTCTGCACATCTGCATGTGGGAGGTGAGTGTGAGGACGTGTCACAGCTGACCCTGCATTTCTGGCCAGTACTTCTGAGTGGTGGTTGTGTCTTTTCCCTGCTGCCCTTTTAAAACTAGACCTAGGAAATGAACAACACTATACTACTGGAGATTTCTTTCTTCACATGAATTTTTTAACACGGCCATGATTTGATTAGAAAAATAGCTTCACTTTGTACACATCTCCATAATTTACTTCTGGGCACTCAAATATCCTGGCAAAATTATACTTTATAATGAGATTGAACATATGTTTCATTTTTAAGATTTGCTTTCTTCAGGAAATGTGCCATACCTGAAAAAGGAAAGAACTTCATACTTTAAGCGTATATAGCAGCACTCAGGAATATGTGTGTGTGTGTTTAG